GGCTGAATTGCACAAAACGCATGATCGCACCGGCTAGCCTGGTGCGCGTTGCCATTTATTGTTTTTAGTACGTTTTATGGAATCGGAATTTTTTAAAAGAATGTGGCTACTAATTCTATAGTTTTTGTACACTATTCAAGTCAATAAAATTCTAAGTTGTTGAGTTCTTGAAACGCAAGCTGTTTGGTCTAGCAATTACATTCATCAGGGCCTGTAAAAAAAAGTAACAGATTGAACAGTTTGAGGCAGACAGAAGCCTCGTAGAAGAAAAATAACCTTATTGCTAAGCCATCTGCCCTGAACAAAGGTTCTAGGAGGTTTTTGCTTTACTAGCACTTTTGAGATTTTGAAATCCTAGCACTGCTTCTTTCATACGGGAGCGTCTCAGTTACATCATTAACCTGGGATTCTCACACCGATTATCCGGACGGTCTTGATATTCCTGGTATCTGAAAAATGGTATGTGCACATGGCACTGTTTATTTGCTGACGCTGGGGATACTGTATCGGAATTTTTCAAGCCGTTGCTTTCAGTTTTTACTTTGAAGCAAAGTAAACTGGCGCTTCAGTAAAACTGGATCCAAAACATATTGATTTACCGCATGATTACAGACATTTACTTGAATATAAGATTTGAATATTTACTCAAAACGATTTGTTTGGATATGGATAAGGTCAATTGTTACCTCGTTCTCTCAAGAGTGCTGTGTTTCTCACGACCTTTATTTTAGGAAGTCAAGCCCCTTCCGTTTCTTTACAATAGAATTTGGATAAGCTCCATCAGTGCCTATTACTGAGCCTTGGGAAAGTGTCAGTTTTTTTGAAATTTCCGTGGGAAATTCATTATGTTTTCTGGATTGTCGTCGGAATAACTTGCTTAGATGAAGCGATCCTCTTCATTTGCTCTTCTTGCACGATCCAGAAAAGCTCGTTTTGCTTCGTTCCTTATATCATTTCCTGTAGGACCTTGCTCTTCCAAGCCATGAGTTTTTTCTGGAACTAGCGAAAAAGTAGTACCCTATTGAGTATCCGAACGAACTTGAACGAAGACCTATTGGTCATTTAGTCTTTCCTAATTAACGATCCTACTCCGAGTTGAAGAACTAAAGTGGCTGGGAGTAACGTTAAACAGTCTATGCCATGTAACGAAAACGGTCAAATTTTTAAAATATGAATTGCATAAATCAGATTTGACTGGGACTTCTTTTTGCTACTGCACAGTCTCCGACTAGTTGGGATTGTGCGCTAGATATCTAGAATTCTATTTATTCTCTTCCCTTATTTCACCCAGCTAGCTAGGTCTGAAAGAAGATCGAGTGATGAACCTTATCGTTCCATCACTTCTACCTTAACATATCGATTTGAATCGTACGTGAGCTTTTCAGTGTCCGAAATCGGGGTTGTTGCTGCATGAGAATTGCGGTTCTTCCCTGAAAATTATATAAATAAGTCCGAGTTCTTTCTTTTTCCACCACTTCAATACTCCCATCCTGACCGTTCTCCTTACTTAAACTTACAGTTCTGGCGCTTTCATTAATGAACAAGAGTCCCTTGTCATAAATGAGAAATGTGCCTTGCAAAGACATGCAAATCGAAAAAAAATGAATGATCGGGGGGATTCAAGGTGCTATAGTGGTTTTGTGGATTACCCCTTACCTCCTTTTTAATTCAAAAGAAAAATTCTACGTTTAGTTGTTGATATCTCCCGTCCTCTCAGGCCCAAATTGGAAAATAAGGTTTCAAGAGGAAGAGAGAAGAGGCTGCACATTTCTGAACTCGTTGCCACATTTTCAAACTTAACTGTTTGTACTTCATCCGATACTGTAATCCTTATTCCTCTCCCGCTCCAGAAAAAAAAAAAGAATTCTGAATCAAGCAGCTAACGTTTCTAGCTCTCCCACAGTCGAATTGGGAGATAGGATTTAGGAAGAAAAGGGAGGAGGCTGAGGATTTAGGAAGAAAAGGAAGGAGACTGCACATCTCTGAACTCATTGCCGTTTTTTGAAACTTTCCTCTTGAAGGAGCTTTAAAATTAAAACTGAATTTCTTGTAACTTGCGTCTCTAGTATTTCTGAAACGACTACTTGATTGGACAGAAAGTTTCTAAATTTGGCCGAAACAGTTAAATTTTGATTCTATATTTATTTCAGGTTGTTTCGATGATACCGCACGAATACCCTTCATCGCATTTAAATTCTTCAAGCACAGCTTTGGTAACCAGATATGAATTTTTTTTTCTATAGTTTTTGTAAACGCTTGGTTCGAAATATTCATAAAGAGATGCAGTGAGTTTACACGGGCAAAGCAAAGCTAAGCTAAGCACAGGATAAACAACGAAAAAATTTATTTTTTGAGAAGTTCGGAAAAAAATTATCAAACCATTTATTACCCATAAGTATTTTGCTCCCTATATATATTACTTAAAAAATCAGCTTATTTTGATAAACCAGAAGCCATGAGCTCTAACTGCAAAGGGCACTAAAACTCAGTCGGTATGACGATCTCCTGCTATTGCTTTACTTAAATGCTCCCGCAGTTCTGAGGTGGCTATGTCGGGCCTTTCGATACTGATCTGTGCACCTCCAGTTAGCACCTCAGCGTCTATTCAGTACATGGGCGGCACCTGCGTGACGGACCCCGGAGTGGTCATTTTTCTTTCCGATTAATTCTAGAGTTTTTTGAACGACATTTTACCAAATTATGAAAATTCTACAGAGTAAAGCAGAAATTGAGCGGCGCCGTCGAGCACGTATGAATTATTCCATAGAGCAACTGAAAATGTTTCTTTTGACGCACCAACCAAATATGGATTCGAAGCTGGAGAAAATTGATATCATGAATATGACGATCCAGCATCTCAAAAATAACGGTAACGAACAAAGTAAAGGTAAAACCGAGCAGCCGGTAACACTTTTTTACTTTTTTTTCAGATCTTATTTTTTATGCTTTTCGGTTTTGGCCACAAACAACGTAATTTCTTTTGTAAGTGATTATAAATGAAATGTCAAAATTGTAATTTCCAGGATTAAAAAGCTGCACAAACAGTCGGTCTGAGAATCCGATGCCATTGATATTACGGGGATATATGACTGTACGCCAAACGCAACTATGCCAGTTCCTTCGATATTGTGCCACATGCTTCCAGAAACTCAAAACCTTCACTGCGTAGCATTCCAAAAATTAGGAGCAGATCATCATTTGCTTCTCGAGCTGTTGCGCTTGCGACAAATATACCAATAATTTTTTATTAACCTGTCCGAAACTTATAGAAATTCATAGCGCGCTAACAGTGCTTTTGGAAACATAGTCGGAACGGACTACAAAGGAACTGGCTATACACGTGGTAGCTTAGAAATCAAAGTTCCTGCCACAAATTAAGGCATAGGGTACCGTAAACCACTGTCTCATTCTGTCCTTCACCTCACATCCTTGAACGGCAATACTGTGGTTCCGATTTGTAGTTGGTTTCCCAGCTGTACAGTTAACAACATTTTCAGTTGCTTTGATTAATGCTGTACTGTCAGTGGCCAATTTTCTGGCGATCCTGAAACTCGTTCCATCCAGCTAATAAGAACGAGGAAAGTAGAAGATATTTTGCTATTTTATATTGCAAGAGAAAATATTTTGCTTTCGGTTCAATTTATTTCATCATTTCAAATTGTTTCTGCTTAAATTCCGAATGTAATTTTTGTGAAAGTTTGGAAAGAATTAACCGTTTGTTTGCAGCATCACTTTTCTTCAGCAGCATTTAAAACATTTCTTCTCATTTACCATGCCGTGCCGCCGCGCTACTTTACAAATGCAGTCGGTACAAATGGGACTTCCATATCAAACGACGGGAGTTTATATTCAGTTTCACTTTCTTGTTAATGCTTTTTTTTTTCGTAAATTTCGTCCAAGGAAGGCAAATGTGCAAACAAAACTCCAAGAGCTGAGGAGGAGAAAACGAATTATTTCGTGATGAAACATCAGATGTAGCCTTACACCTATGCTTATCATAATCTTTTCTCTTGTTGCTTGCTATAGATTCAGGGTTGCCACGTATTCAAAACTTATTTAAGTAGTTGCTTTTTGCGTGTGAGTACCTTTCCTGATTAATGATTTTTCACTGTTTTTTCCTGTCCACAGATTTTATTCCAAATTTAAGTCTGATTTTACAAGCTGTCTTGACTCTTTGAGACATCAGCAAAACATTAAGCTTTGTTTAAACTGCTGATCATATGCAGCTTTTTGAGAAATAGTTGGCGAGTGTTAAATTATTATTCTGGGATAAGTTAAAATAACTTGCTGAGGCTGATTTGAGTGCCATTTTTTTGCACTTTGAGTATCATCCGGCAACTGACGAGACTACACTATCACTTCACATCGGTAATATTTTTTCTGCTCTTACTGCTTGGAATTTCAGATTTTTTCAGTTTTTCTAAAAAAATGTTTTGAAAAACACTTTTTCTAATTCAGGGCACTAAAGGTTTTCCAAATTTCGATCAGTTTGTCGTTTCCTGAGATAGTATTTGGTATTTCGAAATACCAGCTCATGAAAACCTGCGACACTTGCTAAAATTCGAATAGGACCAGAATTTTGAAATCCTGGATTTAGGAAAAACTTGGAGTTATTTAATACATGCCCTTCACTTTCACATATTTGTTGTTTCCCAGCTGGAAGATATTCTTCAGACAGTCCAGCGAAAAGGCCTTCATCTTTGCACTGAAAAATGTACTTAAAAGGCTTGTTTCAGAAGCAGAAAAAGTGGCATATTTGGGATTCAAGCACGGATTCGAAGCAGCTCAGCGGGCCACTGCAGAATTCCTCTACAAATCTCTCGATTCATCAGTTTCTGCGCCGCTCGTTGCCACCGTCAATGCAACATTAGCTTCAAGATTTGATCAGGCACATGCATCATTCGAATGGCTACGTTTCGTTTATTCAAAAGGTCAAAATGGTTAGTAACTTACATTGACCTCAGCTTGAACTTTCACTCTTATATCGTACATCCCATTAATTATCAATTGGCACATGCATTGTCTAACTGCATTTTTT